AGATGGCCCTGACCTGGGCTGGGCTGGAGGGCTTTGAAAATGGGAGCCTGGGGTGCCCCAGAGTGAAATGGTTGTTTTTCACATTGGAGGAATTAGAGTGTGGCCTAATTGGGCTCGGTGAAATGAATTCAGCATCTTTCAGAGGACAAAATCATTGAGCTTGCAGACTAAATTGAACAGCCTAATAGAAATATGCAGGTGAAGGTACAATTAATTTTAATTACTAGACTTGCCATTGTTAGCTGCACAGCCGTGAGTAAAATTAAAATGGCAATCACAATTAGAAAATTGCAACCTCATTGTGCAACACATTACTCACAAATTAGAAGTCAAGGAACTATTACCCACCCACCCTATTGCTTTATGACCATTACTGCCAGGGTATAGATTTTCTTCTTCACGTGCTACCTTGTCCATCTTCTTAAACCTTATCTTGGGTTAAGATCGTTAATAAGTTCCCAGGGAAGAATACTAGGGACTAAAGCATATTGAAAAGTGTCCTAGCCTTGGAGTTGGGAAAGTTGTATTCTTGTGGTAGCTTGGTGGTATTCTTGGGCAAGTCATTTTACCTGTATGAGACTCAGTTTCCTCCTCTGGTTTTTTTAAATTTAATTTTTTGATTTGTGATTTTATACATGCAGAAAATTCCCCAAATGATAATAACCTCCAGTGAGGCAGACTGATGACTCATCTCTATGACATAGCAGAAAGAATATTGGATTCAGAGTCAGGTTCAAATTCTAGTTCTGTCACCAACTATTTGTATGATGTTGGGTAAGTGACTTAACCCTTTTGGATCTCAGTTTCCTTATCTGTAAAATGAAGGGGTTATGTTAGGTGACCCTTAATGTCCCAACTCTAAATCTATTATCTATGCTAGTGGTCTTCAAACTTTTTGGGGGACTATGTTCCCCATTTGTAAAGAAAAACAAAATGGAACACTCACTCTCAATGTATACATATTTAATTATTTATATATTATAAACACATGCTCTTGTGTGAACAAATATGTACATTCACTACAAGTTACGCAAAATAAAAATTTTTAAAGGATAAAATTAAAGATGAAATAATATTTCACCCTAGTGTCAATAGGAAGCCACAGAGACCGGAAAACCATCTTGGCAGCTAAATGGAGGCTGGATTATAGAGGGGAAGAGGCTGGAGGCAGGGTGACCAGGTAGAAGGCTATTGCAGTAGTCCAGGTATAAGAGGTGATGAGGGTCTGAACTAGGGTGGTAGCTATTTGAAGAGAGTGAAGGGGATGGAAGGAAGGAGGTAGAGGTGGGAATTGGTAACTGATTGGATAAATGGGGTGAGGGAGGGTAAAGAGTCAAAGAGTTCAATAAAAATTGGGGAGTTTGGAGAAGAAATGGCCTTTTTGGGGAAAGAACATAAGATTATAAACCATCCATACCTGCTCCCCTTGTGAGACACACTGTCCCACCCAAAATGAAAATAGAGGGGTAGCTTGTACTCACTGAACACTGGCCCTGGGTGCAGAGTCCCCCACCCCCATACCTGCCATGGCCACAAGGTACTACGAGGGGCAGGTGTAGTGGTGGTGGGGAATTTTTCCCAATGGTACCCATGTAGCTACTGCCATGTGTCCCAGAAGAGGAGAGATGAGAATTTGTACAGTGGAGGGAAGGGGGACTAAATAAAATACTGGAGAAATAGGAGTAGTTGTGGTTGCCTTGGAGATAAGCCCATGATCATCTAGGTAAATGTAACCCATCTTCCTGCCCTATGATTGACTATCATGGGAAATACGGCCTATCTTCCCACCCTCCCAAAGGTTAAATAGATAACATGCTATTCCTCATCTTTGTATCTTTAGTTAATGAGTCAACAAGCATTTATAATGGGCTTCTTCTGTGCTAAGCTGTATACTGAAGATACAAAGAAAGGCAAAAACAGTCCTTGCCCTCAAGGAGCTTATGTTCTGAGTAGACATCACACAAATATGTATGTATGCACATACAACATGTATGCACACCAATATGTACATGTAAGAGGTATACTGCATAAATGGAAGGTAGTCTCAGAGGAAAGGCATTAGGCATGGGAGGGACCCAGAAAGGCCTTTTGTAAAAGGTAGGATTTGAACTGAGTCTTGAAGCCAGGGAAGCCGGAAGGCAGAGGTGAGTTGGGAGAGCATTCCTGGAGTGAAAGCAGCAGTGGAAAATCATGAAGTGCTGTGTGAAAGGAGCAGCATGGAGGTCAATGTTGCTGGATATAGTGTTTTTGGAGGGTAGTAGAGATAGAAGACTTGAAATATAGAAAAAGGGCAGGTTATGAAGGTGATTTTATATTTGATCCTGGAGGTAATAGGGAGCCATTGAATTTATGCGGGGAGGAGGGTAACATGGTCAGGACTGTACTTTAGAAAGATCAATTTGACAGCTGAATGGAGAATGGATTAGAGTGGAGAAAGGCAAGTGGCAGGGGATCTTGAGATAGTCCTGGTGTGAGGTTATGAGGGCTCTCCCAGCAGGTTGGCTATGGGAGTAGAGAGAAGGGGATATATGCAAGAGATGCCATAGAGAAAGAAATGACAAGATCTGACAACAGATTGAATATGCGAGGTGAGTGAGGATGACCCTGAGGCTTCAACCCTAGGTGATTGGGAGAATGGTGGGATTCTAGATGTAGAAAAGTTGGGAAGAGAGAGGACTTTTAGGGGAAATATAATCTGTTCTGGAGGTGATGTTTGAGCTGCTCTGGAGCATCCAATTTGAGATGTCCAAAGGGCACTGAGAACAGGTCCTGGCATATAGGGTAAAGGTGGATGTGGATGCACAGATAAGAATAATACCGATTAGAATATAAGTGCATAAGAGAATAACTAAGGGTTATGGTCTCAGAGGAGAGAGATCAAGGAAAGCTGGCGTGATCAAGGGAAGTTTCATGGACAATATGGTGACATTCAGGTTGAGTCTGGTGGCAGTCTGTGGGATGGATGGCGGTAAGAAAATGACTCTGGAGGGCAATATTTAACTTTAAAGAATGGCTGGATAAAGATTGAATGTCTAGGCTCTTAACAGGCTTTTGGAGTGTGGAGAACTTTCTGTTTGCCCTGTCACCCTGTCATGTGAGTAGGCTTGGGAGATATTAGAGAAAGACCATTAGACTTGGGCTGGAGGTTCACAAAGTCTTCTTCTGGTACATCCCTTCCACCCAGACCCTGGAGTGTTTTGTCTACACTCAGTCCTTCTCGTGGCTGGCAAACTCCCTCATGCTAAGTTAGAGAGGATTGAACATGAGCCCATTCTCCCCCTTCTCCCATTCCCCTACCTCTGGGGGAGTCTGTGTTTTAACAGAGGAGCCAGGAGGTCAGTGTTTGCTTATAGCAAAGGAATGAAGCTTGACCAGTGGACTTTGGAACATGGTGATAGGCTATTGGGAGAGAAGACTTAGAATGGGTTTGGGGAGGAGGCTGACCAAGAGGTTGGGCTAGGTCCATTCCAGTTATGTGGTTCTATGACCTCATCTTTCCTACTGTATTTGGCTGGAAGGCACAATAAAGACCAATTAGTCTAATTCCCTCAATTTACATATAAGTATAGCTCAAGAGAGACCCTTCCCAGGAGGAGCTCTGGTTCTAGACCAGGGATAGGGAACCTGTGGCCTCAAGGCCACATGTAGCCCTCTATGTCCTCAAGTGAGGCCCTTTGACTGAATCCAAACCTCACAGAACAAATCCCCTTAATAAAAAGATTTGTCTCAAGTTTAGAATTTAGAGCCATGTGGTGTCCAAATTTATCCTGGGGTTAAGAATAACTCTCCTAAAGACGAGTGTCAGAATTCTATTATTTCTCTCTGGCTTTTATTTTTTTTGACTCCACTCCAGAGTAATACACATGACTTAGATATGGCTCATAGGGCCACCCCTAAAAGAATGAACAGAGTCCCTTTTAATAAAGATATTCAATATGCCAAATAAAGATATAATATACAAAATATTGAATAGATGATAGATATTTATTTCTACTACCACAAAAGAAATGCTTAAAACATAAAAGGCTCATAGGCATATATTATCAAATACTTAAAACATAAACAATCACGCAGAGGGGGAAGAGAATAAGTCTGTATTAAGCACGTACTATGTACTAGGCACTATTCCAAGTGCTTCACAAATATTATCTCATTGGATCCTCACAACAACTCTAGAAGGTAGGTGAGATCATCATTAGCATTTCACACATAAGAAAAGTGATGGCAGGCTTGCCCAGGGTCATACAGCTAGTAAGTTTCTGAGGCTGGATTTGAATTCAGGTCCAAGTCTGACAGCATATGCAACATTTATCAACCATAATCCTTTGAACTTCTCTAGTGAAGAATGGGAGGTGCATTTTCTCCTTTCTTTTGAGGGGCCAAGCTTGGTCATTATAAACATCCAGGGTTTGGTTTTGTTTTTCTTTCCATTTACACATTTGTAATAATTGTATGTATTGTTTTCTTTGTTTTGCTTGGGTCCTCTGCCTGTGAATCTTTCCATGTTCCTCTGAGTTCTCTGTATTCACTATTTCTTACTATGTGGAAATATTCAGTTATGTTCATGTACCACAATTTATTTAGACAATTCCTAAATAATGGTCACTTACTTTGATTCCAGCTTTTTGCTACCACAAAAAGTGGTGGTGTGGATACTTCGGGATATGTGAGATCTTTTTTTTCCCTTCTATCTTTGACCTCCTTGACTGGAGAGAAATCAGAGAGGCAAGGAGGGCAGCGAGGGGGCTACAGGCAAGAAATGAAGAAAGCCTGAATTTGGCTGGTGGTTGTGTGGGTAGAGAGAAGGGGATAGATAGATAGATAGATAGATAGATAGATAGATAGATAGATAGATAGATAGATAGATGGATAGATGGATAGATGGATGGATAGATGGATAGATAGATAGATGGACAGATAGATAGATAGATGGATAGATAGATAGATAGATAGATAGATGGATAGATAGATGGATAGATAGATAGATAGATAGATAGATAGATAGATAGATAGATAGATAGATAGATAGATAGATGGAAGAGATATGGCTGAGGAAGAAATGACAAGAGCTGATAACTGATTGGCTATATGGGATAGGTGAGAAATTGCCAACCCGGGTGACTGGAAGAACAGTGGTGCCCTGGAGACAAATAACGAAGTTCAGAAGAACCGAAGGTGGATTTTGGGGAAAAAGAGGGTGTAACGAAATCCTGAGAGGGACATCACAGCCCATCCATGCCTGCCCACCCTGTGGCACTCACTCTGTCCCATCCCAAAGAAGGGGCAGGGAGGGACCTCTCCTTGGTTCACTGCCCTGGAGGGCAGAGACCACTCTTCAGGGGCACCTGTGGCAGTTCCTATTGCAGCTGATCTGAGGAGCAGGGTGGGCTGGGGTGGGGGTGGGGAGCGTGCATTTTCCCCCTTGAAATTCCACAGCTGCTGCCATGGGTGCCTAGTAGTTGTTAGGTTAATAACTGACCAGAGGGGCCGACATTAGGGTGAGACGCAGGGAGGTGGGGAGCTTTAGCCCACTAGGTTGGATGGAGAAAGCAACAGTTTAAAAGAGCCTCTGACCCTTTAACAGGAGTGCTACAGGGAGTTCCAGGGGAACGGAAGGGCCTGGCATTAGCTTTCCTGCCTCCTGATTGGCTTCTTCCCTGGGGATGGCTTATTTAAATAGGGAGGGGGATCTCCTATTCCCCAAATGGGGTTGACACAAGGAACTAAAGTTATTCCTTCACTTGGTGGAGAGACTTTTTGCTCCACTTTTTTAAAAAAGATTTTTTCCTTACCCAATTAAATTGTCTATGTTTTCCCCCCTCTTCCCCCAAGGAATACTGTGCGCCTGCTCTGAAGTGATCACCACTTGCAGAAGCCTTCCACACTCTTCATCACTTCTTTTCTTTCCTCCAGGGGCCAGGTAAGCCAGCCATCTGGCTCCTCCTAGGATAAAACAGAAGCAGAGATAAGATCTCATGGTGCTAGGGGAGGATGGGGATCTGGGTGGGGTGAGGAGGCAAAGGATGGATTACTGAGAAGAAAGGGCTATTATGTTATTTGGCTAATTTCAGAGAGACATGGGCCTGAATCATGTTTTCTTTTGAATCCCATTAAACTCTGGGCAAAGGCTTTACTATGTAGATTTATAATTACCTCTCACAGCACTTCTCTCAGACTCTGACCCCTCTGCTTCCCACCCGTGGGGCCTGCTTGTCAGGTTACCGAGAAGGAAGAAGGGCTCTGGAAAGGGGTCCCAGGAGATTTCGATTTAGGACTGGAAGGTACCTAAGGGACCAGTTTCAGTATCTCCCCTTGCTACAAGGCTTTAAGGTTTGCAAACTTCTCTCTTTAGAAGAGCCCCATGAGATAGGGAGGAGAAATCTGATCAGGACCATGAAGAGATTTAGAGCTAGAAGAGACCTCAGAGGCTAGTCCTCATTTACAGATGAGGAAACTGAGGCTCAGGGGAGTAATGAGAGAGAGCATTCCTGGCATGAGGGACAGATAGTACAAAGGATGGAGATGGGAGATAGGATGGCATGTAGGGTTGTCTTGTTTTTGAAGAGGGCCAAAATGACATCACTATGTTGGGGTCAAGACACATTATGCCTGACTGTGGCTGATCAGACCAGTACAAGCTTGGAGGGCTCTACCACAGGTCGGGCTCAAATAGTCCATATGAACATTTGGGGTGGAGATGTCTCTATGTCATATACATGTAAGTAGACCAATCTGACTAGACCATAGGATCAGTAAAGAAGAGAAATGTGTAATAAGCCTACAAAGGTAGTCTGGGGTAACTTACTTCAATAAGTCAAGGATCAGATGTTTCACTCTCCATTCATGAGAAAATGGGAACAAAGTGGATCTTAAAGCCCTGTTTAAATGAGACGGTGACTCTCACCATCTTTGTTGTTATTAACAAAGAATCTGGGATTGCACCTTTCAGCAGTGATGCTCAGTCCAATCCCTCCATGCTTTAGCTGAAAGTCTGGATGAGTTTCTTAGGTCAAACTTTGATGAGCCTCTTCCTGCTTGGTGGAGTTGGTCTGTGGACAAAACATACACAGTCCCAAGAATGGGCCCATTCTTGAGGCCCTTTTGATTTGGTGGGACCTACCAGACCCTCTTCTCCAGTGTCACAGCCTTCAAGAACTCAGGGTCACCTCTATAGTGGGGAGAGATATTCAAAGGTAGAGGGTATATGTGTTTCTGTAAAATAGAGGTAATCTGGAGCTCTGTTAAACTTTGGAGCCTCATTATGATCTTTGGTTCATTTGAGTAATTCTGAGATACTTCCTTATTCCTCTTTCACAGAGGGTCTCATGGTCTTACTCAGCTCTGGGTTAGGGTTAGCGTCTTTCCTTATCTCTTCTTTCCCTCAGAAGCAGGTAGTATGACCCTCTAGATTATCTCTATATGGGAAATGCTATGGTATTCTGAGGTTGGTGGCAAAAACATGCCCCCCTCTCCCCTTCATGAGCACTGGTGAAATCTATGACTTCATGAATCATGCCCTGGCATCTAGAATTACCTTGAGACTTTGATAAGCCATCATTGCAAAGCCCTTGTCTTCCCAACATAGATTTGTATTTAAACCTTTTTTTTAAAAAATGGACTTTTTTCATTTTTATATCATCTATAGCTCCTAATATGTCTCTGCCCCTCCTTCTCCAAGACAGCCATTGCTTGTAATAAAGAATTATCTAAAACTTTTCTAAATGCTTGTCATTTCCCTTGAACCCACTTCCCATGAGAAAACAATTCATAAATCTGCTACCCATAGTGGGAGGTTAGGCCATCAGGCCATCTTTCCAACTCCCAAACTGGCCATGCTGTGGCTCCACTGAGGCCCTAGTACTAACGTTATGAGTCATAAAGACCAAGTATTATGAATTTTTGGTGCTACTTAGCTTGAGTTTGTCGTAGACAAACCTAGACACCGCTAACATTCTATGTTTTGAGGACCCATCTAGCTCCAACACTCTCAGTACTGTTTTCTAAGTAGGCTTTCATGGAGGTTATGGCTGGGTTTGGGAAATCAAAGGAAAGACATTGGGCTGAGCTTAAAAGAAATCAGACTGAGAGCATTGGGCGCTTTATAAAAATAAGATGGGACTCTATGAAAAAGTTTTATTCAAAATGGTGACTTTTCTTCTTTGTGTGACCCAGGTACCACATTAGGCCACTAAGCCTGGGAATTTAAATGTCCTCTTCACAATAACAAGATAAGTATAGAGTGGTCACCTTCTATGTGCATGTGAGCTGATTTTTCTTTCAGACTCTTCTTGCCAATCTCCCAACATCTGCCTGAAGCCATATTGTAGATTAGAAGGAAAAAGAGAATCTAAACCAAACTTTTCATTTTATAGATGAGGCCCAGGAGCAAACGACTTGATAAAGGTCACTCAGCAAGTCAGTGTTGGGGCTGGGACCCAAATCTTGGTCTCCTGATTCCCAGTGCAGGATTCTTTAGTAACACACCATGTTAGTCATGGTGCCTGTGAGAAACAGAGGAAAGCATGGTGAGGGAATCCCATTACATCTGAGGACTGTAGGATCTGAGACCCAGAGCTGGGGGGAGCCTTAGACATCATATGGTCCAATACCCTCATTCTATGGATGAAGAACCTAAGGCCCAGAAAGGTTGTGACCTTCTCAAGGTTCTACAGATAGTAAATGGTAAAGATGGGATTCAAACTCATGTCCTTTGCCTCCAAATTCAATACTCTTTCCTTTCCTCCTTCTGATGGAATGAGTAGCCACAAAAGAGAGATATCCATGATGCAGTGGGAAGAATTCTATAGTGGGAATTAGAGGACCTGGGTTCAAGTCCCAATTTTCCAATTAACTCTGAGTGACCTTCAGCAACTCACAACCTCCCTGAACCTCAGTTTCACCATCTGCAAAATGGGGATGATTTCATGAGTCTCAAACAAGATGAGATTATGGACATAAATAAAGGGTCTTTGAAAAAGTTTGCAATCTACACAAATACCAGGTTCTAGTACTAATTGCTTATTATGCCATTATCATTTTGCTTTCTATGAAAAAGGGATTATAGGAACATTCAAAGGTACCTGGATTTAGAGCCCCAAAGACCTAGGTGATCTTAAGGGCCCCTCAGATAATGGCCCCCATTCCTATGGTGTCCTAGAATTTATACAGCCCTTCCTCCCCCAACAGACCTACGGGATAGGCACAGCAAGACTTAATATTTCCGTTTTGTGAGTGGGGAAACAGATTTGAGAGATGGAGTAACTTGTCCAGGAACGCACAAGTAGTATCAAGGCCAGGCCTGGGATCCAGTTCTCTTTATTCTATTCTACCGCCCTTTCCAACAAACCACTCTATCTCTCTGATAGCAGCTAACATTTATATAGAGCTTTCCATGTTTGCCAAGTGTTTTCAAAGGTGATCTCATTTCATCCTTGTAACAACCCTGGGAGGGAGGTGCTGTTATTATCCTCATTTTACAGATGAGGAAACTGAGTCTGACAGAGTTTAACGGGACTTTTCAGCAGGATGACACAGCTACATACCTGCAGCAGGATTTCAATTCAGGTCTTCTTGGCTCCAAGCCAAAGCCAGCCCTATTTGCCCTGAGCCACTGGAACCAGGTTTAAAGGTGGTGATAAATGCAACCCATTTCTGGGTTGCAAATGGCCTTCTCCACACCTCTAGACCTTACATGAGTGCAATGGGAGACACTAGACAAAGGAAGTCTGAACTTAGGGGTTGGGCCCCTGGAGGGCTAAGGAGGATCAAGAAAGTTTTCTCTTTTCTTGGGAGAATCTATCTATCTATCTATCTATCTATCTATCTATCTATCTATCTATCTATCTATCTATTTAATCTATCTATTCATTTATGTATTCTTTCATCTATTTTTTCTTCCTCTCCCCTTCCTCTCTACTTTTTCTCTCCCCTCCCCTCTCATCTACCTCTCCTCTCCCTCTTTTTTTCCTTTCTTCTTCCCTTCTTCTCTCTCTCTCTTTTTTTTTTTAGGCAATTGGGATTAAGTGACTTGTTCAGGGTCACACAGCTAGTAAGTGTCAAGTGTTTGGTCTGAGGCCGGATCTGAACCCGGGTCCTCCTGACTTCAGGGTTCTATCCATTGCACCACCTCGCTGCCCCTCCTTCTTTTCTTTCTTTTTCCTTTACTCTCCTCCACTCCTCTCCTCTCCCTTTTTTCCTCTCCACCTCCTCTCCCTCTCTCCCTCTCCTCCCTTTCCTTCCCCTCCCCTCTTCTCCCTTCTTCTCTCCTTTCCTCCCCTCCCTCTCCCCTCCTCTCCCCTCTTCTGTATAGAGATCTAGTCTCAGAGTCAAGAAGACCTGACTTGGGGCAGCTAGGTGGCTCAGTGGATAGAGCACTGGCCCTGGAGTCAGGAGGACCTGAGTTCAAATCTGGCCTCAGACCAAACACTTGACACTTACTAGCTGTGTGACCCTGGACAAGTCACTTAACCCAATTGCCTAAAAGCAAAAAAAAAAAAAGACCCTACTTCAAGTCCTTACTCTGACCTGTACTGGCTGTATGTTTCGGTTTCTATGTGTGACCCTGGGTAAGTCACTTCACTTTTCATTGTCCCAGAAACCCCTCTAAGACTTTAATTTGCAGAGAAAGCCTCAGTTTCCTCTCCTTCTATGCAGGAGGTCTGGGCTTGATTCCTGGTCTATGCATAGTTCTGCCCCCTGTCTCTGCTTCCTTCCACGCCTCCCCCCCACCCCTCCCCGAACACTGACTTTGGAGCCTGAAAGCCCTTGTTCAAATCAGCCTCTGTCCCTTACTCCTTGTGTTACCTTGGGCTCAGTGTCTCTACACCCCAGCATCCTCAGACCTGGATGAAGAGGGAATTGGACTTCCTGACCTCTGAGAATCTTCTCACAGCGAAATTTCCAATCCCGTAATCTCTCAGTGTCCCAGAGAATTCTCCAAGACTGAGCAGCAGAGCTGCTGTGGTTTGGCTTTGGAGGAGGGAATTTCCTCACTTGGGAGTTCCCTAAATGGCTGCGTCCTAGGCTTTTCCAAAACGTGGGGCCGACAACTTTGCACAGTGACTCAACGGATCTGATTCCAATCAATGCACTTGCTCAGTGACATCCACCTCTAAGATGTTAACTTTTCACCATAGACAAGATTTCAAAATGATCATGTTAACATTTTCCATTTGTCGTATTTGCCTGACCACCTCAGATGCTCTACCATCCCTTGCAACAGTTCCTAATTTTGTCCCCAAACTTACTTCCATTTCCATAAATAATGTGTCTTAACTAGTCTAACTACTCTCATTATGACTTTCTTCTGGCAGGCAGGGGAGGAATATGGGAGATGACTGTAGTGGTGGGATGCTCACCTCCCCCTCTTCCCAGTATGAACCCCCCCACCCCATACACACACACACACACACACACACACACATACACACACACACACACACACACACACAACTATTTAATTCTGCTCTGGCATGAAATAATAGAGTGCTGTGTATCTATTACAGATGTGAGGAGATTTGGTCGGCCACAGGTTTCTGCAGCACATTCAGAGGCCGAACAAAGCTGGCTATAATCGGCTCTGCTGCCATTATCCATTCAGCTAGGGTAATAAATGAGCCGGGTGCAGCTTGCCATATCCCACCCAGCCCCGATAACAGCTGAAAGGAGAAAATTACATTTTGCTTTTGTTGAAACATTATGATTTATGTATTTGTAATATAGGCTGTGGTGGGCAATTGGAAAAAAAAAGAGAAAAGATTGTTGAGTGTACTCCAGGGTTACTGATTGTCCCATGGGCCACTTAGCGAGCTGGGCATGCGGCTTTCTCGCCTGTAGATTCCTTCATAATGAAAAAAATTACCAATTCCCATTAACCTTTTCATCCACGCTGGCAGGGCCAGCAACTGAAAGGTCCTGGGGAACCAGGATCGTGCAGGAATACCCATGGGCTCCTGGTTCCTAGAGCAATTGGGAGGAGCCCCCATCAGTGAAGAAGTGATGGATACAGGTCAAAAAATCCATCTGTCACTTTGAGTATTTTTAGAACAGTTCTCTGCACATGGGGTGGGCTTCTTACTATATAATGTCTCCTGGCCTGTGACTAGATATTCTGATATCCTCATACAATATCTGAGCCCATAAACATAATTAACTTCTCCCACCTCCAAGATGGAGAACTCAGCCAGGCCAGGAGTGCTGTGCATGGACATTTATAACATTGCAGGCATGGCCCTAATACCGTAATCAGGGCTTTGGTCTTACTGGGTTGTAGAATATAATGAACTTACTTATTCATTCCAGCTTCTAAAAGCAATGCCCACTGTGAGGCACATTGTGTGTCTTCTACTTTCTGATCTTCAGAGAACAGCTAGGTTTCTGGGGTGGTGGTGGTAGAGGGGAGTAGTAGGACTTCCACCTAGGGAATAGACTCTTCAAGGGGTCTATAAGCTTATTCTCTTATAGGAAATGAAAGCATGCATGCACATGTATATGAACAGAAGTCCATATGCACATGCAAACACACATGCACGTTTAGGTACATGTGTATGCACAAACATGTGCACAGTCACGCGATCTCATCATTGGAAGGCAAAGATTTATCAAGCCCCTACTAAGACCTTGGACATACAAAGATAAAAAATGGTACCAGTGCCTGCCCCTGAAGAGCTAAAATTCTACTGGACAGGTCTGGGGTAGGGGCTGGATATGAGTTTTACATAGATGGGTAAAATGCAAGCAAGGGATGATGTGATATAGGAAAGGGAGAGATATAAACAAAGACTAGCTGTGTGACCCTGGACAAGTCGCTTAATCCCATTTGCCTCAGTTTCCTCATCTGTAAAATGAGCTGGAGAAAGAAATGGCAAACCACTCCAGTTGGGAGAATCAGGAAAGGTCTCATCCGGAGGTAATGCTTGGACTGAGCTTTGAAGAAAATAAATGATTCTAAAAGCCAGATCTGAGCAGGGAGTGAACTCTAGTTATCCTCTTCTTCCTCCTCCTTTGGATAGACTTCAGCCTGTCATTCCTGAAATGTGGAACAAACATATGCGCATAGGAGCACATGAAACCACAGCTGTATGCCTACATGCACAATACATATGCACATCTATGAGTTGTTCTTCCATCTCTGTTGGTTTCTGGGAATTCTAGGAGGTAGAATACAGGAAGAAGAGTGTTAGGTTGGAAGCCTCAGGAACACTGGGGTGATCTGACCTTACACAGAAGCAGAAAGGTATGATATGTGGGGTCTTCCTGACCCCAGTACCTCCTCAACTCATTACTTGTAATGCCTTAGTTTTCCATAAGAAAATTTTTTTTTCTCCAAAATGATCTTTTTATTTGGGTTGGGCATTGCCTTATGTGAGATCCTTCTTTAGAATGTATCACCAGCTCCCCGCACCATCTCCCCCTCCCAGCCTGTGTTTCCCCATGGCTAAATTGAATACCTGACTCTTCAAGGAAATTATTGAGAGTCATTCTGGAGAGACCAGGAAGGAAATGCAAGGGCTAGAGTCTGGAACATTGCCTGGTGAAGGCAGGCTAGGGCGGATGCTGCAGTAGCTCTTCTGTCTGGGTCTGCCAAGACAAGAGGAAGGGCACGGAAGGTGGAGGCTGGGTTTATGGAAGACAAACCTCTCAAGTTTGCTGAGGCTTGCTCCAGCTGTAAGGCTGAACCTAGAAGAAAGGAACAATTAGATCAGCTTGATCAGTCTATCAATCAGCTCACAAAAATAGCAACTCCTATTTTTATAGCATTTTAAAATTTACAAAATGTTTTCCTCAACAATGCTGTGAAGAAGTTAGCTTAAGTATCATCACTCCCATTTTATAGATGAGGAACCTGAAGGTCTAAGAAAAGTAGTGAGACCATTGGCAGCCAGTTAGTTATTGTTAGATCTGAGCCTTGAACCCAGGACTTCTAGTGCTCAGTCTAGGTTTTCCTTTGGACACCTAGGGGAAAGAAATAGAACTTGGGGGTTTCATTTCGTGGTGCAATTTATTTAACCATCTACTAATTCAGTAAGATTTTTGTTTGTTTCTGTTTTTTTGGTGAGGCAATTGGGGTTGAGTGACTTGCCCAGGGTCACACAGCCAGTAAGTGTTATGTGTTTGAGGCCAGATTTGAACTCAGATCCTCCTGACTCCAGGGCCAGTGCTCTATCCACTGAGCCACCTAGCTGCCCCTCAATAAGTTTTTATAAAACGCTTTGGGTCTAGGTTTCTGCCAGCTGCATTGGGGGCAAGGTGTGGCAGAATGGGAGGAGAAAGAAGAGGAAGAGGAAGAAGAAGAGAAGAAGAAGGAAACCAGGGCCTTGCTTTGCTTGAATTTGTATTTGCAGAGCTTAGCACAGTGCCTGGCACATAATAATAAATTATTATTTAATTATAAAGGGCTTAATAAGTACTTACTGACTACTGACTGGCTGACTGTCTGCCCTTGGGAGCTAGTAAACTAAAGCAATGCAGCCCCTGATAATGCCCAGGTATAGAAGAGAAACAAAGTAGGAAGGTCTAGGGTGGGTATGATGTCTCTCTGTGTATCTGGATCTCTGGGAATCTTGTAGCATATGTATATTGTTGATGTAGACACTGCTTGTGGATGGCATGGATATATATGATCTGAAGTCTGGTGTACCATTATGGAAAGTAGGAGGAGGTCTGTGCCTGAATCACAAGTATCCTAGCTTGAGAGGGAGAAGACCAAGCAGGACCTTGGACAACTGAGGTTCCTATCTCCACGAGTAGTATCCAGCTAGAATTACATCTACCTGTCATCCCTCAAATATCTCTAATCTAATGGTACTATTTTTAGAGATTCAGAAGGAAAACCATTTTGCTGATAGCCCTTAAGGAAGGAAGGTAGCCTTTAGCTTACACTTACAAGCTTTAGCCCTTCCCCCTACATGTTGGTTACATAAAAGTCCAAATAGGGAATAGTGAATGAGCCTATTTATCCAAGCAAAATGGCAAACAGAAATTAGAGCAGTCCTGCAGATTAGAGTAGGGCAAAGAATACACAAGAGCAAATGAAGTCTTCAGTTGGGAGCGTGATAAGATCTCAGCTGGAACAAGGAGAAAGAGAATGATCTTGCCCCAGGGAGGTCCCTTCCCAGCAGCCTCGAGAGGTACAAGCCCTGGAAGGAATGCGAGTAGGATGTCCCCAGCCTTAGGAGCATCCATCTGCCATTCCAAAATTCACAGAATACAAAATACAAAATACAACCTATCTGAAAGTTTTAACTTCAAGTGTCTCTGCAACTAACTCAAATGTGTCCCTTAAGGCAGGTGTGCATTGTCCCACTCAGCATTATCCTAGCTAATCAGGACACATCTTCCTTCAAGTAATGACAATTACAATAATGATAGCAATAATAATAATAATGATAGCTGATATTTATAGACAATACTTACTATGTGCTAGGCATGGCACTAAATGCTTTACTATATTATTCCATTTAATTCTCACTCATTCTCATTTAATACCCCTCAGAGCAGGTGCTATTATTATCCCCATTTTACAGATGAAGAAACTGAGGCAAGCAGGGGCTAAACGATTTGCTCAGGGTCACACAGCTAGTAAGTGTCTGAGGCTAGCTTTGAACTCAGATCTTCCTGACTCCAAAGCTAACACTCTATCCATTGCACCACCTAGTTTTCTCTAAAACCATTATTTGCTGATCATTGTGCATGTTTTCCTGATACTCTTATTTTTGCTGATCTATGTATAAAAATGTACATTCATGTATATACATGTATATCTATTCGATATCAAGTTCAGTAAGCATTTATAGAGCTTCTGTGTTCCAAGCCCCATGAGTAACAGTGGACATATAAAGAGAGCTGCAACACAGATTTCACCCATCAATCAAATGGGCCAGTGTGTCTTTATCTATCCTATACCACCATCACATTTCTGTAGTACTTTAAAGTTTGCAAAACACTTTAATTCCAACAACCCTGAAAGGTAGTAAGCACAAATATTATTATCATCCCCATTTTACAGATGAAGAAACTGCAGCCCAGAGAACTTAAATGACTTGCCTATAGTCAATCGGCTTGTATCAGAGTTGATTTAAATCCAGATCTATTGTCTCCAAGTCTAGTGCTTTTCCTACTACTCTAGATTCATCCCCTCCTCTCTTCTTCACTCTCCTCCTCCCCCTTCTCTTCCTCCTTCTCTTCTTTGTCCTCCTCCTCCTCCTACTTTTCCTCTTCCTCCTTCCTTCTTCTCTTCTTCCTCATCCTCCTTCTTCTCCTCCTCCCCATCCTCCTTCTTCATTCTTCTCTTCTTCTTCCTTCTCCTTTTCCTTCTTCTCCACTTTCTCTCTCTCCTCTTTCTCTTCCTCCTCTTTGATTTCTAACTCAATCCTACAAGCATTCATTAAGTGACTGTTGCCTGAAGAGCACTCTGCTGCATAATATGGGGAGATACACAGTTGTGAATCCTATAGTCTAGAGAAGGTTAGGGTTAGACACAAAAACAGATAACTAGACTGATATGCAACAAATGTAGGAGAAAGGTGCTCCATGAGATCTAAGAGTGAAAAAAAGGCTGGGATTCTGGCAAACCTTCCTGGGGGAGATAGTATTTGAGTTGAGCTTTAAAGGAAGGGTGGGAATTTGGCAAGTATTCAGAGGAGGTCTGAGGGTGGGGGGAGAAGGGACATTCCAGTGAAAGGGAATGGCGTGACCAAATCATAGAGGTAGGTGGATGAAGGACAAGTTGAGGGGGCAAAGTTGTCCATTTTGACTGGAGTAATAAGAGGCAAGGCTGGGAAAGTGATCTGGTGCCAGATTATAAGGGGCCTTGAATGCCAGGCTAAGAAGTATGAACTTCACTAGCTAGGTAATAGGGAGCCACTGAAGATTTTTTGAGCAGAAGAGTGATCAGAGCAATGAGTGCCTAAGGAAGGTGACTTTGGCAGCTGCATGAGGGGTGTATTAGAGAGAGCAGAGGCAGGAAGACTGCTCAGGATCCTACCCCAATTGCCCAGGTTTATAGTGATGAGAGCTTGTACCGGGCCGGTGACAGTGTGATAGAAAGGAGGAGACTAATAGAAGAGATTTCATAGAAATAGGATCCATAGAATTTAGAAACTAAATATGAGAAAGAAGGAATGGGGAAGGGTCAAAGATGACCCCAAGGTTTCGATTCCTGGGAGGCTGAGTGAATGTGATACCATGGGCATAAATAGTCATATCAGAAAGAAAAGCAAATTTACAGGCAATGAAAATAAACTTGATTTTGGTTGATTTGAGCAGTGGGTGTGACGTTCAGGTAAGGATGGCTTAAAAGGAAGGAGAAGCAACAAGCATTTATTAAGCACCTGCTGTGTGCCAGACACTATGCCAAGAAGCTCTTTACAAATATTATCTTATTTGGTCTTCACAAATCCTAGAAGGTAGGTGATGTTATTCCCCACCTTTTACAGTTGAGGAAACTGAGATGGTGGTTCGTTGGCCGACTTGCCCAGGGTCACAAACCAGTAAATGTCTAGTCTGGATTCAAGAGAAGAAGTCAGGCTTAGAGATATAAATTTGGATATTATCTACATAGAAGTTGACACTGAAGAGTGGGTCAGTGATTGAAGTTACCAAGAAAATAGAAGATCTAGGTTCCGTCTGTCTCACGTAGGCTGAATGTGTAGTGGTCATTTATGGGCCTGACCCAGCCACACACTGGCATGTGACCTTTGATCTGCAAGGTTGCCAGCCTAGGCCAGCTCACCCTCCTTAGACAACCTGTTCCTCTCCTCTCTTCCCCTCCCCTCCAATCCCCCTCCCTCCCCTGCTTCTGGGGTTCATCATGTTTGTACCAGACTTAGGGTGGTCACCTGATCGGCTTTAACCCTCTTACAACTCAGAACTCCCAAACTTGAGCGATCCATCAGCCTCAACCTCCCCAGTCACAGGAATTCCAAATATGTGCCATCACAACTGTGTTCAAGTATTTGAAAGGCCGTCCACCCCAGAGGACAGTCAGATTTACTCTGTCCTCAGAGGGCAGAATTAGGAGCGAGGAGTGGAAATTGCTGAGACAAGTTGAGAGTTGATACATGGAGGAGATTGTGTCCTCTCCTTCTCACCAATGCCACTGGCTGGCTGAGCTACCGATCAGCAGCAAGCCAAGCAGGGAGGGGTTAAGTGAACATTTCTGCCATCTCTGATTGACCCTATGGTGATTGTCATCTTAGGGCACCATGATGGAAGATTTAAGTCAAGATCACAGGATTATTGATTCAGAAAGAGGAGGCACCCTAGAGGTCATCTAGCCCTACCCCTTCATTTAATGGAGGTTTAGAATGGCTACATAGCTGGGACAAGGCCCCAGATCACAAGGCTGAGAGACAGAGCTATGATTGGAACTCATGTCCTTTGACTCCCAAGTCGAGCAGTGCCTCAACATCCCCTGGGCTGCTTAGAGGCCTGTCAAGAACCCCCAAAGCCATAGAATCGTGGGATTATAGGTTTGGGACTAACAGAGACTTTAAAAACAACATAGTCTATTTTCCCCAGCTACCCCTAATTTACAAAGAAGGTAACTGAGGCCCTGTGGTTAAGTGATTTGCTCAAGGTCTCACAGGTAGTAAGTACTAGAGCTAAGGTTTGATGCCTCTCAGACATTTCTAACTGGATGTCTGATAAACATTTTAAACTCAATGTATCCAAAATGG